CCAAAACCTTGCCACACAAACCCAGTACAATACAGAAGAAAATGCTGCTTTTCTTCTTCTGCAATGTCTTCCTTTTGAACCTTCCTTCAATTCGTCCCACAGGGCAGTGCAAGCGAAGCCACCCTGATTTCACTGCTTGCTGCAAGAACAAAAATTATCAGACAGGTGCAGTCAGAAAAACCCGAGCTAACAGAAGCAGACATCATGGGCAGGCTGGTGGCCTATACTTCTGATCAGGTGAGTACCTCTCAAAAACATGGAAACATGGGATCTATGCTTAACAATTTCAGCCATCTCAATAGGCAGGTGAATTAAGTATAAACTCTTTGGATTGGTGACTATTTGGTTTTGCTTGTTTAAATCTTATTGTCCATCATAAGCGAGCTGGAATCTCACGTGTTCTACCGTAACACACCAAATAAGTATCTGGAGGTCAGTGTTATACAAGTAGTGCTTCTTTACAAAAAGAGCTCATTTTATGTAAATAAAGACACTTAGAATCACAGAATCATTAAGGTTGGAAAAGACCTTTAAGATCATCAAGTCCAACCGTCAACCCAACACCACCATGCCCACTAAACCGTGTCCTGAAGTGCCACGTCTACACATTTTTTGAACACCTCCAGTGATGGTGACTCCACCACTTAGTTTCAGTTGTGTTGAGTAAGTCTAGACCATCTTTTGTTGCATCTAGGCTTGTGTGCCCCTGTGTGTACACGTTATTTTCCTCCTACATACATGTGTAGACAAACACATATACATCCTCCCCCTGTAGGCATGCATGGGTGCAGGTGCATGCACACAGACAGACCTAGTGCATGAATATAAAGCAAATTGGTCATAGTACTTGAAGAAGCCCAAAACATTTTTTTTTTTTAAGAAAAAACCTCCTAAGATCTCCATGTATCAATCCAACTAAGAAATCTGTAAGAAAACAGAAAGCATAATCCTTGATTTCTGACTGTGAGTGGTATTTAGGAGACTGAGTTAGGCTAAATTCTCAGCAGGCCAGGATCACAAGAGGCTTTTACTGTTAATGAAAGCAAATTTTAGCCTTGTGAGTTCTGCTCCTACCTTTCAGACACACTAATTCTACTGAAGGGCCAAGCAATGTTGTTTCTCTCAGTAGCAGTGACATTTTCTTATCTAAATGTCAATGAGATAGAAGTCTTAGTACATGATGTTTAGTTTAAAGTAATATCTGATTATGCAGAACAAAATGGCTGGGTTTAAGGCTTACCTTGTTTTACTGCTGAGTGTGTGTTAAAAAGCACTGGAGAGCAAGTTAAAAGCACACTTGTTCTTTGTTGGTGGGAAGAGGGACCACACTTGTAGGGTGAGAAGAGTCAGGACAAGAAAATATGAGGAAAGATAAGTGTTTTCAAACGGCATAAAAGCTGTTTGTCCTTTTTTGCCCTAAGGTCTGTGTTGCACAGACCGCCAGTCCCAGAGCTCAAACCCTGACCCAGTGATGCACAAAGCCTTTTACTTGTTTTCATTTTTTGACCCGTGTAAGTGGCTGACCTGAAATGAGGACTGACAGGCCTTCCTGCTACTGAAGGTCAGAGGATCTTATGTTTACAGAAGGATTTGCCTTAAGATATTGCTGACCTTTCAAAGCAGATTGTTGTAGAGCTCACCGGTCTTTCTGCATTAAGAACAGACCTGTGTGACTCATAGGCAATAATCCGCAAAAGAAAGTAAGCCTAAGCTGTTCTGTGGGAGAGCAAAACACGGACCGGCAGAGCACAACGCTGCCGGAATGCATTAGAAGGGAGGTAAGAATTTGGCCGATAAGGAGACTCAGAGCAGAAAGCTGAACTCAGATCTCATATATCTGGGGAGACCATTTTAGCTTCTCGGCATTTTGGGAATACCTTTATCCCATTTACATAATTTTGCTTTCTGTTAATGAGTACAGAGCAGTACTGGCAACAAAGCTTTCCTCAATAACTACTTGGAGACAACAGAAGAGGATCCCCATCTGTTTCAGTGCCTGGGCTATGCTGGCTGAGGCTTCTCTTGCAAGGGACACTGAATGTGAGACCTTGGAGCTGAGAGGAGCATCCAGCTGCCCCTGACAGTAGACACCTGACTGTTTGGGACCAGAACAGAAGTCAGGATAGTTTTTTGATATTCTCAAATTTTCTCAGACCATTCCCTTCATCAACCTTTTTTTGGCCGTGTTTCTTTGGCTACTTTAAGCAGCTGCCCACTCATTTCACTGATTTCTCTTTGGTTCCTTGCTCTCCTCAAGGATGCTGGGCGATTTCCAAGTACTTTGCTGAGGACTAGGTATTCCATGGAGCAGCAGGTCACTAACGATTTGTTACAATGCAAAAGCATCTTGGCAGTTTTAACCTTAAGATTGTGAATGACTGTAGTTATCAGACAGCCTTACTACAATTTTGGAGACATGAGAAAGGAATTCTGAGGTTCTGACTGGCTAACAACCTCAGTGTATAAATCATCTACAAAATACCTCTTTCTATTTCACACTTGAATGAAGTATGGGATCGCTATGGTACACACATTGTTTTCTACTTCAAAAGCAGTTAGTTATATTTCAAGTCTAGGCTTCTGTATTTTCTCAAGCTGGTGCCTAATTAGTTTGACTAAGAGGCATTGCTGAGATACAAGTTAATAGTGAATCTGCCTTTAAAATGTGTCATTCCAGGGATATGTGAAGTTTAAAGGCAGAAACTTTATCTTCATCTGGTCTTGTTCAATCTAAGTTTGGCCTTAATCTTTCCCATGATTATATGCTAAATTAGAGTACAATTAGTAAGTGCTCTTGTAGGCACTAGCAAGAACCAACAAGGGTAGGATGGAGCTTATGAATGAGAATAGTCATGAAAAGTGAGGAATTTTTCAAATTAATGATGATTAATGAAATTGTAGAAGTTGGAAGGTAAAACAGTTTTATTTGGTTTTAGTCATGCTCTAAAGGAGAGTCTTTTGTGGCTAAACGTACCTTTTATTGTTAATAGAGTTATTGTAGTATTGTACTTCACAGTTTTATAAGAATTTCTTAGTGGTATCTTTGTTTTTATTTACTGAGATGTACTTTATGTTCTAAAAAATATTATTTAAGGGGAATTCACATAAAATGGGTTATAAATAAAATAACATATTGGGAATGAATGAATGATTGAACCACAATTTATTCAGTAGGTAATCTAAAAAAACAATGGTAATGTAAGAAAATATCTCAGTCTATACCATACTATGATGGCATATCATTTAGGGTTCAGCAAAGCTGTAGGCCATAAAAATATGCTAGTGAGCAACTGAATCATTATCAGGCAAGCTGATTATCTGCATGTCTTTTGGTTGATTTGGAGCCAAATCCTGAAGCTCTTAATCAATCCTACCTAATTGTGAACCTGTTAATTAAAGCTCTCACCAAGGTTAATTGAACTCTTGTCTGAATGACGCCATGGCAAGGGTTTCAAGAATACTTCAGTGTTTTCATTAGTGTATTTGTGTGTATGTATATGTATGTATGTATGTATGTCCGCCTGTCTGTCTGTCTATCTATATGAAAGAGAGAGCGGTAAGTGCCTGTTACATACCAGCAACAGTCCCAGAATCTCAAGTACTGCTCTACTTGAAAGAAATTATTTTTTATTTTCAAATTCAAATGAACATCTTACATTCCAATAAAAGTTATCTGTCTTAAAACCTGCCTATTTATTTCCTTGTAGGCTCATTCATCAGTGGAAAGGGCTGCATTAATTGGTGGTGTGAAGATTAAACATGTTTCTTCAGATGATACATTTAGTGTTTGTGGTTCAGCCCTAAAGAAAGTTTTGGATGAAGACAAAGCTTCGGGTCTTATCCCATTCTTTGTGAGTACTGGATTTTAATTAATCAATGGATTTATTGCTCTGGTAAGCTGTTCTTGACATGAGTAGATGATCTCATCTCTAACAGAGTGTTCAATAGGCAGCATAGGCAGAATACCAGGACAGGTTCCATGACTGTTCTTCATGCACCTTTCTATGGAATATAAGCAACTCCTTTGCTGGTTGCAATTCTCAGCAAAAATTATGTTTTAACAGGAATTAAAGTTATATTAGACAGTTGAATTAATGCAGGTGAATTTTGTTGTTACCTGTAATCCTGCAAGGTTATAATCTCCTAACACTTGAATTCTGAACTGCCTCTTTTACAAAGGTATACTTTTATTTTTCAGGTTCTAACTTACACATAAAACAAATTTAAAGGCAATAAATTAAATGGTGGCATCACAAACTTAAGTATTTTCAAGAAAAAAAAGGTTCTCTTTCTCACCACTTTAGCAAAGAAATCAACCTCCATAACGTACCCCAAATATCAGCAACGTCAGACATTGTCAGATAGGTATTTGTGAGTATGTGACTTATCTCTAAACAGGTGAGCTATAGGGAATCTGGCTGTGGAAGTTTTAAGGTGTCATCATTTCTCGTTATCTGCCCACTTTCCTTTCCAGAGATTCCTGCTTCCACAGCAGTCCAGCAAAGCAAATGTTTATACCTCAGAGGCTAAAGCTCATAATCCCACAGTTTTTGACACAGAACAGTGTCAGACTGGATATAATTCTAAGTTTGTTTCGACTATGAGAAGTACCTGATTGAAAAGAGATTTGCTTATTCATCAGATCTCCTCCACCTGTCAGTTCAGAATGCCACCTTATTATTTCAAGTTAAATCAAGATTCTACCATTTGTTTTTTCATAGAGTAAGTAACCTCTGTTGTGTTTTTGTACGTCATCAACAAAATTTTTTGCTCATTTCTAAGCATTATGCCTCTACAAAACTTGATATAGACCATGATCTGTATAGAGTTATAAAGGAGTATAATATGCTACCAATAATATGTTTTTGCTGGCCTCCACTGAAGAAAATTGGAGGAAAAAAACCCCTATATTAGAAACTGAGAACTTTAGAAACGGGATTTTTTAAGAGAGTCATAAATATGTCACAATTTTTTCAGAAAAGTCATGTCTGACAAAAATTTTTTCTTTCATGTGGTAACGTTTTCAAAAGGGCTAACATGAGTTAAATTTCTATTAAATGTTTTCAGAAGAATTAGCAGATTAAGCTTGCTTATAGTCATGGATAAGTGCCAAATAGGACAAGGAAGCTTAAATATCAAGCTCTTCTGAAAATGTAATCTTTTTTACTCTTCTTGTTATTAACCTTTAGTGTCTGGTTTTATGAAGTATGAGAATGACTAAGGTGGAAAGTGTTTTTCATACGTGCAGAATGCTGCTAATTTCTAGCCTGCCTAAAACTAGCGAGTCCTTGGGATGACTGAGCACATCCCATCAATTGCTTTCCAACATAAGACGACAATGACTGAGAAACAAAGCACCTAAAAGGCTGCCTGAATGAACTTTCTTCTGTGGGCTGCACCTGTTGAAGTGGAGATGTGCCATAAGGCATGTTTTATTTCTCTGTTGTGTGGTACCCGTTCATAACATCTTAAGTAGGATTCTACTTCTTTATCTTACTGTTAATTTCAAACAATTACAAGTACAGCACTATATCACATCTCCATGCACTAATTACAAATTTAGTGTGTTTTTTCCTCATCTCTTGTCCTTTAGCAAAAAAAAAAAAGCAACTTGCCCCTCAAAAATATTCATTCCTTATTATTTTTTCCACATGTAGCAAGAAGAAATAAAAAATTCCATTTTATGCATTCAGTTACACTTTTACAAAAGGCGATTTAACTGTTGTTTTTCTTCCTCTGTTTGCTTAGCTGTGCAAAACAGGCTTTCAAAGACAGTAGAGGCTCAGTCTGAGTTAATATGGCTTGTGCCAGGTCTTCCATTTATTTGTATACATAAAACATGTCAGCTTAGATTAAACTAGATCTCATTATCCTTATGGTTGGCCTCTTAACTCAAAAGGTGTGTTAATTCTCTGTCATGCTGAGCAGCAGTCCATGCACTGTATAAGTGCTCCCTTTCTGGCTTGCAGGTTTCAATAGCCTTTGTTCATTTCTTTTGTTCTTGAGTAGTTTGGTGCTATTTATTTTGTTCTGGTGACAAAGGTAGGCACATTGCCAAGGAAACACCTTACGCCACTTTATTCCTTGTCTCCCTGTATTCACTGATCCTTCACTAAGGAGTGATTCAACATCAAAGCAAAAACTTTAACAGAAGACATTCTGCCTGAAGAGACGTCAGAGATATCATTCCTAATGAAGAGATCTTAGTTGCATCCAAGCTGATGCGGTCTCCCTTACCAGCAAAAAAAAAGTTTTGTAGGTGATTAAAAAGAAAATGCAAGCAAATTACAACGCCTTATAGGCATGATTCTCCTCTTATATTTAATGAACAAATGAGGAGTCATTATACCGAACTTGATAGAAGTGCTTTGCTTATAGAGGTGAGTGGAGAATCAGGGGCACATTTGCTTGATGTGAAACAGGTTCTCTCATTACAGCAATTTGGCAATTACAGGTTTGCTTTTCACATACATAGGATTTGGCAGTCAGCCTTTTTTTGGGAGGGGCATTGTCTTTAAAATAATTCCTATCCACCATCAATATCTTATGGCACTAGTAATTCATACATCGTTTTGTTCAGTGAAGGCTATTGCTCACTAGTGTACCCAGACCTCTACCTTTTTTTCCTTTTTTTATTTCTAAGTTCAGACTTATTTTAAGTTGTTTCTTTCAAAATACTTTGACAAAAATTGAAACAGAGATGTTTTCATATAATAAAGCAAGCAGACTGTGCAAACAAAGCAGGTAACCGCTGTGTTCAAGCCTAGTTCACTTGAATGTGTGTAAGCGGCCTGTAAGCTTTACGCTGTCTTTCATAACTCAGCACTGGTAAGTTGCAGCTGGCGTATAAAGAGTACAATATTCTTCAACAACCTCATCCAGTATAAAACTGCTATAACATGATCGCCTTGCTGCTGAGCAAAGGCCCAGCACGAAATCAGAAATCTTTCTGATTCTAGCTGAAATGACTCTTCTGAATGATGATCTGCAGGATATTAAGGAGGAGGCTGTTTGTATCCGGACTCACTCAGGAAACAATAAATCAGAATTAGACTGACAAAGGAGCCATCTTTTCAGTAGAAGTTAACACTTAGATCCTGACCACAGATTCCCATTTGGAAGAAGCATTCTCGAGACATGTACAGATGTCTGGGGCGATGTTTCTTAACCCACAGTTTGTGAATGATTGCTGTTTCGTAAAATAGTGAATGGTGGTTTAGTAAAGTGTTGCAGTTTTCTTCAAGCCACAGACATTGTCATGAGTCCAAGCTGGCGAACAACTGAGCAGGAGAAAATAAAAATACGAGAACGTTGAAAGTTCTGCCTCATTTTATTTAATTGCAAATGAAAAGCTTCGTGGTAAAACTGCGCAAAATGTGCCCACATCTTTTTCAAAAGCTGTAGGAGGTCTTCCAGTTGAAAAGATGGAGAGTCATCGCTCTCAGGCATCATAAAGATCCATGCCTGTTCCCTGCCATAGCTCTTGGTTTCAGGAAAGTAATACATGAGACGACTGATGCAAGCATTTTAGCTGCTTTGTATTTGCAGCCAGGGCTGGGTCAAATCCGACGCGCGCAGCCTGAGAAGGGTAAGGCCTGCAGGCTACGCTGAGCCATCCGCCCCTTTTCTGTGAGGCAGCCTGCCCGCCGCCCCTCGCACAAATGTGATTTTGCCGGTGTTGCACAGGTTACAAATTGAGTTACATTCATTGTGCAGTGCTGAGAGCCCTGACAAGAGCAGATGCTGTCACTTTAAGTGGTTTCTGAGAATTGAAACAAGTCGCTTTGAGGCTTAGGCACCGGCAGAGGGAACAACAAAATTATTTAGAAACTGCGGTGTACTTTACAGAATAAGCCATTATTTAAACAACTAAGCATATGTTTGAACTCATATCAGCAACATACACCTTATCCTGATTAGAAGGAGGATACTTTAACTGCAGTTCAACACTAATATGAGTTCAAACATATGTCAGCAGCAAAATTTTGTTAAATATATATTCAACGTGCTTCTAATCTTCAGAACAGTATTTGTTTCAAACTCAGGTTCATAGTAGCTGGATATGGAAAAAATACTGGATTGTGCCTTTTTTATTTTAACAATAACTTTTCCTATAGCCAGTAGTTTTTATTGGTGCAATGAAACATGATTATAGTTATCAATATTGCTGTAATTGTGAAGGTGGGGAAACATGTGCACTGTCAGGGATAAAATGTTTTCAGGGGTTTATATGACTACATTTAATCAGGTCCGTCCTGTATAAAGGCAGGATATGAGCTCCTCTAAGAGTGTATATAAATTTGTATGAATTGAGTACTGAGTACTTTCCATTAAACAGAAAAATTCAGCTCCCTACAACAATTTATAATATCTCTGATGTATATGGTATAATATACACAAAGTGTAGTTAAAAGAGAAGTTTTATCTCTCTAGCAATACATTATTGAATTAGTTCAATATTCTTGGGATGTACGATTTCATATTGCTGGCTTTTTGAATAAATAGCCACCTGCCCTTTTTACTGGATGTTTACATTAGTGTGGGATTTCCTAGAAATTTTGAAAAATCTAGTTTAATAAGTAGTAAAACAACTACATGACAACCATGTCTCGCTTTGCATGAATTCTCTAAAAAACTTGCAAATGAAAATCCCATCACATTTATCCAACTATTTGTCTTATAATCAATCTTATAATCTTTTTTTTCCAAGATGCCAGGCCTTTCTAGTGTGCTGTTGTCACTTTATTTCATAGAATGAAAAGAAGAAAAAAAAATCTTGATGGGAAGTGTGAAAAGCAAAAATAAACAAATATGTTAAAACTTCATGAGAAGTTATTGGGAGGACTGTTTAGGGAACCCCCCCGGAGGAAGACCAACTCTTAGTCCTGAGATGTATACAGGACCTGCTTCAAGATGTGACTGGAGATGATTTGTAACAGTCTCCAATATCCGATAGCTGGTAGAAGTGAGAAAGTCAATAATATCTCTAGCTTGAAAGCAGGTGACAACTTATGAATGAGAATAAGTGTTCAAGGGAACAAATTAAAGGGTAAAATATTGGTAGCTGTCAAGCAGTCTGTTTAATTAGAGCAGAAATACTTAGTGCAAAATTGTATCACCTTTTAAAGAAGAAGGAAAAAAGACCCTCCTGAAAAAGCTGTCATCGTTTGAGTATCGGGAACTCCTAGAATTAACGAGGTAGCAGCGAAACGCAGGAGAGACAGCATGTGAATGTCTGAGCTAGAGGAATAGAAAAGAGTGTACACTTGGCAAGTGAAACATGATACTAGGCTAAAACAGAGTATAAGATTTTTGGCAAACAATTTGCTACTGGCATAATAACATGAAATTCTTTTTCTCAGAAGTAGAAAGCTTCTTAGGCTAGAGAGACATGAAAAGCTGAAAACAGATAAGGCCACATCAGGTAACATAAATGTGAGCAAACCCTTTGCTACAGAAGTGTGTACTCACATCACAATGGCCGTAATGGGACAGGCCAAAAGTCTGCCCCGTCCCACACCCTCGAGCCACCAGCTGCACCTCTCAGCTGGGCACCAGCAACACGTCCCCATCATGCAGCAGCGCTGCAACCAAGGCAGCAATGACAACAACGCGTGCTGCTCTTCAGCGAGGCCATTCTCTAGTAGCACAGGGAGACCTACTGTACTGGACAAACTAAGGAGATGCTTGTGGAATAGAAGGTATGACTTGGTGTGTTGGATGAGCCAGAGAAGTCCCACGCAGAGAAGGAACCACTGGAAACACTTCCCAATGGTATCAGCCCTGCTACAAGGGAGAGCAGTGAACCCAAGGGCCCTGCGTACCCACTCGTTATGGAGCTGTGGGACAAAAAGGCACTGTATGGAGGTTTAATGTATAATTGTATCTATGTTTTGCTATGACAGTATGTTTGTTTCTTGAAAGGTCTTAGTGGATGGACAAGTACCGTCTAGGCGTTCCTTTGTTGTCTTATAGGTCTTGCACGAATTCACCGAGGGACGTATGTGCGCACACACACACGGAGAAATGTAGATGCAGATATATAGGGAAAAACAGTGAAAGCAAAAGATAGTGCATTGACAGTGTACTTGGCAAAAAAAGTAACAGGAAGTACAAAACCAAAAAAATAACATTCTGGATTTGACATATTTATAGTCAGCTCCTGGCTGTATTATAGTTTGTGTGTGACCTTGGATAAATGATCTAATTCCTTTGTACTTCAATACTCTAACTAAAAACCAGCATACTTTATTTGCCTATTTAAGCTGTAAAATGTCCTTTATTATATAAAAATTCACCACAAGGCAAAAAATCCCAACAGACCCAGCCTTTATTAGTGCTTACAAAAATGAGACGAGGTGTTTAAAACATGAGTGTAGCAATGAAAAATAAAATAATGTCAGTTTATATGCACTTGGTAGTTGTTTTCTGGGGGTATAATTCTAACTGCATATTCCCAGTACATTACCATAGCTCATTTTCGCCTAGTTAACCTTTCCTTCTACTGTGAAACTTCAGCATTTATGTTGCCTCTACTTTTGGCCCACTGGTCATGCAGCAGAATACATTAAATGAGACGTTAACAGAATGAAGGAAGAATGGTTCCAGTATTTTAGGATGAATTTGAGAGAAAAAGTTTCTCTGGAAAAAGTCTTGCAAACCTAATACTGGACATATACTACTAGTGAACAGGTCCCAGGCTGTAGATCCATCGAGAACAAATCAGTTACAAGTCTCTGTCACAGAGCTCTGGCTCTTTAACTCAGGCAGTAAGATTTAAGATCCATTCCGTCAACAAGAATTCCAGCACCTTTAAGTTGCTCAGGTTCAGAGCTTGCTTATATACCACAAACTGCAAATCATTTTGATGATAATTGTGTATGTGAGGTTAGTTCTGGGCCAAATGGTAAGCATGTGGAACACATAGAAAATATATGAAATATAGTGTTAATATAATACTGTGAGTGTATACATTACCTATCAGGGAAATTCATGTTAACATTTGATTTTAAGCACTTGTCTCAACGGATGCTTATGGGAACTTTGCAAAAAAATTAGGTTCTCGGAAGTTCCACTGAAGGATAGGTATTGGCTAAAATGAATGTATTTTGCCCTGTATCATCTATTCTCTCCTTAATTGTTTATTGTTGCCTTTGTAGACAGTTTTTTTCATTTGATAATTTTCTTTGCTTAATTTTTTTTACCTTTGGTTTTTTGTCTCTGCAGTTCTGTGCAACACTTGGAACCACACCTTGCTGCTCCTTTGACAAACTTTTAGAACTGGGTCCTATCTGTAAGTCTTTGCTGCTACTTTCTAAAATTGCAGATACCAGTTTAAGCCATGCTGAGTCATTTCCAGGTCATTGTGCAGCGTCAGTGTCCAAATCCAATAAGACCACTTAGAGATGAGACCTTCAGTTACAGGTTTTTTTCTAATATTAGGTCAAGCAGCAGGCTTGCATTCTCAAACCGTTAAAGAGTATAGAGGCCACTGCCTCAAGGGGGTTTGGGGGGGCGTATTTTGGAACACTGTCAGGTCAAAAATACTGTAAGTGCTTCAGTTTGTAACATTTTTTTTCATGCCCTTCTACCTGCAAGTGCACCTAGAGCAGTGGTGAAGATGAGGGAGAAACTGAACTCTAATTCTCCTCTGCACCAAGTGTTTTGTTTCTGTCTGGTTCTAAGGGCTCTAAAAAGCAGGGAAATACGCACAAAGTATCCACATGCACTCTCCTTAATCGTTCCTCTCCCTTCCCTGATTTCCTTCCTCTTGCAAGAAAACAAGATGAGTACCAGGGTGTTTAATACAGTGACCGAGTCATGGACTCTTCATAAGTGTCCCTGTATTACGGTCTGTGGTGTCAAGCTTTCATCTGCAGCAAGGCTTGGTCAAAAGCATGCACTTGCTGGCTGATGAAAATGCAACAGAAGTGCACCGTATCTATTCAAGTGTACATTTAGAACAGGGCATTTATAGCTGTAAGCAACTGGAAGCAGCCTCATAGAAACACAGCCAGGTGTGATGCTCTGTTAATTTATTCAGGTGGGGCTGAAAACATGAGAGTTTTGTGTGGTGGTGACTTGCTCTGTGAGGTTTCCTGCCCTTCAGCACAAGCCCCAGAGACTCAGCTTCTCCCAGTCCTCCTTTCTAAAAAGCTTTCTGGTAGTCTGCTTAGCAGCTAGAGTTTATTTTGCTGTTCAGGCTACTCCTATGGACCTGCCCTAATAAAATAGTGACACCGATACTTTTAGGTATAGCAACTACTCATGTGTTTCACCAGCTGCTCTGAACGAGCTCCTGCTCGTGCAGCAGAGACCAGCAGAAGGATTATACACAACTCAAATCATAAGTCTCATGCTAGCTAATTATACATGACCAGTAGTCCTATGAAGTAAAGACAGTGTCTCAAACCAAGTATATTTAAAAATTAATCATCAGTTAACTTTGAACATCTTTTCAAATAAACCGGTCGTGGATGTTATGAATAATATTTTATTAGCCTTTTCCAGACATTTATGCAAAAAGAAAATGTAGTTCACAAGAATGCAAATTCCAGTATGAACTTGGTGCCCAATCAGAGATCTGTATAGATACATCTCTATATGTGGAAAATGCTAGCTTTTCTGCGTGTAGGTGCATTTTCTTCCTAATATACATGACCAGTAGTCCTATGAAGTAAAGACAGTGTCTCAAACCAAGTATATTTAAAAATTAATCATCAGTTAACTTTGAACATCTTTTCAAATAAACCGGTCGTGGATGTTATGAATAATATTTTATTAGCCTTTTCCAGACATTTATGCAAAAAGAAAATGTAGTTCACAAGAATGCAAATTCCAGTATGAACTTGGTGCCCAATCAGAGATCTGTATAGATACATCTCTATATGTGGAAATACCCATCAGAATTATTTGGTGACCAGTGTAAAGGTGTTATATGGGGCTTCAGTCATCAACTCGTAGACCAGAATAATTACCCTGTGCATTAATACAGGTGATCTATAGCGGAGTGTGAATACTAAATTACAGAGAATACTTGAGAGGCTCATGCTAAAATATTTCTGCAGAAACCATTCCGTGACTAATTAAAACTATCGCTTTCTTAACCTTTCAGTGCTTGCTCTTGCATAAGTGTCTCAGTCCTTGAAATAGTTGGCTGTACACAGTTCAAAAGCTGCGTGCTTTTGAATATATATGCACATGCACATGCACATATATCCATATGTAAAAAATACTGCTTAGAAACATGTGATTCATGAGTTAAAAGTTGGGAGCAAAGCTGAAACTCTAGCTCCTCTTGCTAAAGCAGATAGTTTTTTTACCGTAGAAATGATAGCTACCTCTCTAGATACATCTTTTTAAAGTATATTTTATAGTGGTTCTTAAATAAAAATAATTTAATGTTTTATGTTGCTTAATATTAATAAGGTAAACCTAGACACGTAAGGACTCTGTTCCAGTAGAAGTGAGGACGAAGAAGTTTTTATGTATATATCTTTATGTATTACTGGAAACCCAGATGGTAGAAACATTTGATCTCTTAATTTAATTTTAAATTGGGAAAATAATAACATCAAAGAAAAATCTCTCAGGCACTTGGTTTCATGCAAATTAATAGGGCTTTTTAATCTGCTGTTTAATTTATTTCCCCTTCAATTACTTCTTTTTTTTTTAGGTAATAAGGAAAATATCTGGATGCATATTGATGCAGCCTATGCTGGGAGTGCATTTGTCTGCCCTGAATTCAGGCATATTTTAAATGGCGTGGAGGTGAATGAAATGTTTGTTCTCTAGCAGCCTGCTAAAACCTTGCTCTTCCGTAGAACTTGTGTGTTTCTCATGCATCCAACATTAATGGCTCTTCTAGAATCTCTGAGTATGCTGCACTTCAGTTTGCACTACAAATCCTTGTATATTCTATTACATTCCTTATGCTTATATAATTTTTACTGGTTTATTCTGGGAGTATGCAAGTTATCCAGTATGTAAAGGCTTGTCATTTGGAATAGCAAGTAGTAGTGAATCAACAAAGTGTCTTACAAAACAGAAATTAGGAACTTTTCCCCAAATATCCAAAAATGCATGTTTATAACACACTAATTCTACATTACACAAAAAAGAAAAAGAAAAGAAGTTCAACAAATTAATGAGCTCGTGAAGTCTGATTTTTTAGCTTACATCCTGAAAGTCATTTAGGATACAGCCAGTAGCTGTATCTCAAACAGACAGGGTTTAATAACCAAGAGAGCTAAATGAAATATTCCCCCAACAGCACTCCTGTTCCTTTCTTCCCCCTCGCTGAGCTACTTGGCATTCAGTTGCTTAGATAAGAATACTTCAATTTCCTGCTGCTCCCCTCAGACAGTCAGATAAGTCCTTGTCTTCCATGTCAGTGGAGAAAATATTACTGTTTGGTAAAGCCAGAAGTTTAAACACAGCACTGATAGCTAGTGACTAATGAAGAAATGGAGGGACACCCCCCTCACAAAGAAAGCATTTCTTTCTGTCTCTTTTTTATCAGCAAATGAAGCTTGTTGTAATTTCCTGTGGGGGAATATTTTTTAAATTATTGTTATTGGTTCCTGAAGGAAATGAAACAGCATCCCTTGTCTGGGCCAGCATTTGTCAAAAGAGTCAATATTTAACAACCATGAATAGGTTTCCTACCTTACATAGTACAGGGGGATAGCTAGATAAATGGATAGACAGACAGATAGACAGATAATCTCCTCTTATGAGAGCAATTGTTAATTGTTTACAAGTGAGAGGGAAGGTTATGAGAAGCAAATGAGAACAGGAAAGTGCTATATGGAGTAGTCAGACCCTGGTGCTGCCAGGCCCCCATCTCTTTTTTAAGGCTTATGGTTTCTGTCTTTGTTAACACACAAAACACGGATGAAGCCTTTCCCACACGATGTCCATCTCTCCATCTTGTTCATCCATCTACCTGGGTTTCCTCTGATGCCACGCCTAAATATATGTCAAGTAAAATGGGCCTGTTACATGATTTATATAAACATGTATCGCGAATGCTTATTCTGTGTTGGTTTTTCGTTTGACTTAGATGAAAAAATGACTTCTACTAAAAGAAAATACCCTGTCAGTAAAAAAAAAAAAGTCATTTCCTGTCAGTTGTAATTTTATGAATGAGGGTGATATGCAGATTCTGAACTAAAGATATCATTTGTCTCTCTGTATGAATTTTGTGTGCATATGTTTAATATTCTTGGAAATAGAAAGTTTAGTGAATTGTTATTGGGAATTGGGATATAAACCGCAGTGGATGTTCCTCAGTATGCAGATGATTTTTTTAGTTTACACTGAGATATATACTTTTCCATAACATATGTATCTAAAAAGTATAATTGTTAGCAAATGCTCAAAATGTTGATAATACCAATAGCCTAGCTGCACACCTAACCTGAATTCCATCCCTAAAATAAATGAAGATTGAACTACAATAGCCATTAAGTAAGGTGACATCAGCATTATCTATAAAGCCCCAATTCAGGAATTCATTCGTAGTTAAGGTGTACTCGGACAATTTCACAAAGTTGTATCACTAGTACATGGATCCTTTTATTGTTCATAATTTTGTTTTTTATTTATCCATTGTCAGTTTGCAGATTCATTTAACTTTAATCCTCACAAATGGCTCCTGGTGAATTTTGACTGCTCTGCTATGTGGTAAGTATTACAATAAAAGAAAACATTCCAGGAGACAAAAATAACATTTTAAATTAGTCTGCCTTTCTAGCAGTAGACATTTATTTACATTTCTCTATTGAAATGAGGAGTTCATTTCAATTATTTACAAAATTCACTCTCTCATTTAGTCCCATTTTCAAAAAAAGTAAAATTTAGAAATAGACCTGAGCTCTGTGTTATATTCCAGAGAGAGAGAAAACCTGAAAGACCTGCAGATTCATACTTGCTCCATTTTGGGACTGTTCAGAACATAAATGAAAAAACTTCATTTAAGGATGTTAATGCAACGAACAGAGCTTTTTCTTCTTTTCCATAAAATTTCTTTTTGTTTGAGCCTTGATTCTTCAAAAGCCTTTCTAAAAATTCTTGGGATTTGGCTGATGAAAAGCAATTGTTTTCAAAAAGGGCTATTTATGCAATTTTGTACTGATTTTCAATTTCCCCAGATGACAGCAGAGGTGACATTTTGAGATAAAAAGATGCCAAACTAGAAACCAGTAGACATACTTTGAAACAAAGCAAGGTATCATAGCAGTAATAGTAACGTCCCATAATAGATGATCCTATTGTATCCCAAACTGGAATCTCCAGAACCTAGTGTCTACCAGCATCACCACTAATGATACTTATTAGCAAAGCAGCTATTGAGTAAATGCAGACTATTTATCAAAATAAATGAAAACATTAATTTCAGTTATAATAGAACAAAATTTGCAAAAATGAAAAAAGAAGGAAAAACTAATGTTAAAAAAATACTCTAAAACATCATCCAGAAAAAGGTCACCTGATTTAAAAGAAGAATAAATGTGAGACAATGATCACTCAGTTGCTTTTGGTTAATCTTCAGCTCTTTTAAAATCCTCAGCAAAGTTGACTTTTGCACAAATTTGTATATTCTTCAGATAATACATTAAATTTTTGAATTTAAGAGTTTTTCTGATGTAGGCACTTCAAATATTCCAAGCCATAATGAGATTTTTCTTTTCCTTAGAGTAAGTGGCTTACAATTTGATCCTGATTCATCTGTAGTGGCCGTGATTAACCCAAGACTCCAGTTTATAAGTACCTCATAACTAGCCATCTCTCTCTGTATATGGACATAGGGAGAAGATGAAACTCCTTTGCTAGTTTCTCCCTTCTTTTTCTCATCAGTCCAAGTCATTGTTAACAAAGCAGCCACTCAGAAACGAGAAAATACATCATCATTCTCTTTAATGTTTGTAGAACAATTAGGGGCTAGAGTCCAGTCCCTACCAGTTTAATTTCTCATTAATTCTGCCTTCCCCTATAACCGTTTAGAACTATGTTAAAAGTGTTTTACCTGGCTTTCCAGGAAAACAAGGTATATACAATCACACCATCTGGAAAGACTTAGGAAAGTATTTTTCTCCATTTTGTTTCTTTTTTTTTAGATAAGCCATTGCATAAAATGCTTGTTTCTGTAAGTAGGAAGATTCCATTACAAGGAATCTCAAGAGACCTTGCAACATATTTCCTTACTCAAAGTGAAAGCTTCACAGCTATAGCCATTCAGGCTTCATTTCAGCCAGGCATTTATGTAGAGGTGTTATTCACTTAATAAAGAATGAAGTATACATTAAAAGTTAAACTCTTTGACTTGAAGCCAAATCTATCGCCTGACTAATTCTAAGGCCCATATCCAAAATTCACCTCATCAACTGTAGCACTGCCTGAAACGGTGAAATGGTTGAAGGAACCTGGTGAGAAAAAGTAACTGTAAAGGACACATAGTCCTCTTAGGACCCATGGGAAGTATTAACCATGATATTGTAATAATACGGAAAGAGTTCAATAAACGGTGAACACCATTTCAGAATCAAATTATGCTGAGACCTGATTAAGCTGAGCCTGGCCTGATGGACAGGCTTCTAAATCACCCAGGCTCCTCAGCACTTTCTCCAACAGACACTCCCATTTCTTTTCCCTGCAAGTTCATTAAGATAATCTATCCATTAGATCTGTAATGTAATTATTTAACTACTAAGTGTAATATGTAGCACTGATATCGTTTGGAATTTGGAGGCAATTTCATTATAAACCTTTTGTAAAATATTCTCAGACTTCTCAATGTACAGAAAAGAACAGTCAATTTCCCATAAAAAAGGAATTTAATAAAGCCACTCTGAGAGGGGTATATTTCCCATATTCAAATGTTGGGGTCCTATAGAGACTCTGCCTTGAAAATACCAGTCAGTTTTGCCAGACTTGTTTAATTGGTGCTCTGGAGTATTGTAAAATAGGAAGAAGTGTCTTCTTTCAGAGAGAGTGAAAATAATAATCTTGCAAAGTCTCGGTATTTTTGCTTTTCTAGTACTCTTTTTCAGGGTTTAAGTGTTAACTTCTGGTTGGGAGAGTTATTTCAGTATTTGAAAGGAAGGTGCTTATAGGAAATGGTTAACTGTAGATGGAAGTGAAATTTTCCTGTCGGTTTGTAATATGGTCACCTTTTTGGTCATTGTATCTATCAGTTAAAATGGACAGAATAGAGTGAGGCTGTTAAAAGCTGCAGATGTGCAATCCAAGTAAGTCACTTATCACAAATTTTCATTGCTTTATTCACCAGGAATTCTATTGTGCATTTTGTATTATGAGTACTTAATATGTGAATCTGTGCCACTCAAGGTAGACCTTAGTAGGTTTATTAGCATAACATCAAGCCTTAAAAAAAATTCTAGTTTCAATGACATTTTCAAAATATATATTCAGGATCCTTTGGTCAGCCAGGGGTATTTGCCAAGGAAGTTAAGGACACCACTTCTATCCATTACCAGACCACACAAACACTTACTGCAGAGAAGTTTAAATACATAGGGTGAAATCTAGACATGGTGCCACTCAACTGGTTCATATACATTGATGTGCAGGCTTTGGATTTATGTTAGTAATCCTTTTAGATAGTTTTTCATGGTTGCCAGATTAAGACCTGTGAAGTCCCCAGATGGAACAGACACCATCTTTTAAAAAAGCAGTAACATCACTAAGGAAGTGCAAGATGGCAGCATTTTTATAGCTTCTAAGTGACCAGAGGTTGTTGCAGAATAGTTACGTGTTCCATTGTTTGGCACAGCATTTTACAGGAGAAGAAATGAAGCTCTCATGAGACAACTAAAGATGTTGCTTTTAACTTGGCATATGGAATGAGCTACTGAAACACCAATATATCAAAGTAATCCAATATAGCAAATAAACTACAGTAGAACAACTTAGGGTTTGTTCACAATATCTACCCTAATTTAACCTGCTTTCAGATAACAGTTTCTTCCTTTTGTCCACAGGATATTTTCAACACACAAATAGATTATCAGTTGTTTTTACTGAGAGTATTCTGAATGTCTTTTAGTATTTTTCTTGTGCATAAGCTTACTTCTCTTCAGCTATGTACTCTCCATATCTGAAGGCAAGTACTTTGTTAACCTTGGTACTACCCTGACCATTAAAGTGAGAGGAGGGCTTTTTCTTTGAATAAGGTGTTTGATGAGCATAGTCTAGATGTGGATGAGACTGGGAGTGGCCTGTGTGTTTATACATACACACTAAAATGTTGGAAATTAGATTTTTACTTAGGATTTTATAGTAAAACATTTTAAACATTAAAAACCATAAAAAAACGGATGCGCAGAAAATAATACAAGGCTTGGACTTTCATCATTTAGAGTGTCCCCATGTCGACATAACTATTGCTTGCTTTGTGAAATATCTGTAGGCCTAATATAATTATGAAGCAGTCTCTCCCTTTTTGGTTTCTGGTTTCTACTTTTTCTGCCTCTATAAACCCCCTCATTTGTAGAGGTCAGTCAGTCTTACACATAGAGCGAAGCATAAACCAGCAAAATCTTGTTGCTACGCACTGGCAAATCATAGCTTATTCTCTCTAAAAGAGACACATTGGCTTTTGATCCTCAGTCCAGTCACACCACCCTCTATCTGGCAACAGTACGGTATGCTTCTCAGTTTTACATTGTGCTGTACCATGTCTGACAGCAATTGTCTATTGGATCCAGCCGAGGGCAGGGTGGTAGAAGAGGGAAGCCTGAGTCTGGACCGGGTGGCTCGTCCCTACCAGTGGCTGCTGCTGCCACCACCGCAGCATGGAGGGACCGTGGCCAGCACCCACAGAGCCTCACCGCGGCTGTGCACAGTGTCTAGGAAGCCACGGCTCTTCCCACACAGCTTTGTGCCGCGGTAATTTCAAAGCGACTTCTGTTGACTGCAAACATTAACATTGCTTTAGTTAGTCTCACATTCTGGTGTGAGTGTCTGTCACCATAAAAAGATCCTCCGTGTCTGTTTCTTGTCTGTTTTTAAATATGCAGTCGTGCAGTCATGCTGCCCATTCCTGCTGAGCCTTACACTTAACTACTTGCAAGTACAGTACTGATACGGCTGTGAAAAAGCGCTGAAAATGGCACAGGCTGTGCTCAGGAAATACGCCAGTTTAAACGCATTCAATTTGCATTCACTTCTTGTGGCAATTTAATCCCTTAAATTTTAATTTTTAAATTTTTCTATTTGATTTCTTTTTTATACAGGGTGAGAAAAAGATCAGATTTGACCGGCGCCTTTAAATTAGAACCTCTTTACCTGCAGCATCACCATCAGGAGTCTGGTAATTTTACAATTTAATGAGATTATTATTGTTATTATTTTGTTTGCACACTGATATTTAATGGAAAAAAGGACTTAAGATGAAAACTGAAATTCTTAAAAACCACCTAAGTTGTTTAGGAGCTTATTTCCATTTTCAGAGTGCCCTAGGGAGTTAAGCTTATTGAAGTGCCAACACATGTCTAGTGAGATTTTAGTTAGTATAAAAAGCAATTGAGGGAAAGCCATTTTATAAAGCATTATATTAATACTTTTGTATTGGGATTTCCCCAGCTCCAGACTTACCACTGACTCTTTGTAGGAGTGTTGAGAAAATTCTTGATGATCTTTTGGCAGTCACATAAACATATTATTGCGTGCTGCATATCAAGTCCCTTAACCTGCCTTCCTCAACATATCTTTCTCCAGAATGGTTTCAAGATCCAATTTGTTTTTAACGTTTCTAAAGTCTGTGACCTTTTTTCTTAGCTATTTGTGCAAGGTCTAATTAAACTTTTCAAAAACCCATGTCAGGAGCAAGCACTCCCTGAAACAAAGAAGAAGCAAAGAAGAGGTGAGCTGTGTTTGATACTTGTGCTCTGTTTTGAGTGATAGCTATCTGGGACGTGATCCTGTTGTTCTCACATTCTTACATTGATTGTAGAGAAGGCGGTAAGTGCAGGCTATCCATCTTGTACAAAATACTCATGGAAGCTCTTCACAAAATGCTCACAAAGAACTTACAAATCTTAGGCCCTGTACAAAGCTCCTTAATGGATTAGTGCTCCTCCTTGCACATATCTAGCAACTGCAGAGTGGCATTTGCCATCCTGAAGCCTGTTTTTAACACATTCGGTTATTAACTGATTAATTGTGAAGAAGGTCACAGCAGTGCAGTGTCAACATGTGGTGCAAATTCCCTCATAACTTTCTCAAGAGGGCGAATCACATGTGGATGTTTTTACCATTTACTCTATCTCATATTTTTCTTGTAATTGCTGGTGTTCATCTGTGTTTGGAAGTGTATCCTGAGTACTTTTATCTTCTCTCTGTTATGGCTATGAACTCATTATCATTTAAATGAATACCATCCAGAATTCCACCATTCACTAAAAAGCACTAAGAAAAATGGATTCCTGTGCCTTAATCCTGAACTGGCAGAAATTTTGCATTTTATTATTTTTCTACATTTCCAAGCAATGCAAATATAGAAGAGTAAAATGCAGTAACTCTGGAGCTGAGGTTCACCCTCCAAAGGTTAGAATTGTTAAGAAAAAAATATGTGCTGGGCTTTTTTTTTGTTTTTAAATGAAAAATACAAGTTATAGCAAATACACGTGAGTCACTAGCTTTTACTTAACGTACATGAAAAATATTTCTCTTCAGGAGAAAAAAATCCAAATTTAACTAACGTGAAAATATGTTCTTGTGACAACTGACAGTGCTGATACGAGAACCTTGGGTCTTCCTCAGGTTAAATAACACCATAAGAAAATCAAACCTTTACTAAAACTAGATGCTTTCAGTGAGGCCACCTAGTTGACCTGAAAACTTTTTCTCCCCCGTTGGATAAGAACTTCTTCAGCCTTCGTCTGCCTTCAGAAGCTGTGATAGCATGTTATGCAATCTGGACATAATGATTTCAAAGAGATCGGCTGATTACTAGCAATCTAGTGATGCTAAATTTTTCTATGCTCTATTCCCCTTTGAAATCAATTTTCCAAAGAGCTGGACAACACTTTTCAAATGCAAATGCGTCTAGTTAAACTGTTAAATCCAATCCACACTTACGACTTCACTAAAAATAGCCAAATTTGCACAGGTGCTAGGCTGTTACAGTCCCTACTGATCCCTGTGTGATTTATGAGATGTCAGTACTCCTGGAAATATGACTTGTCTAGTGGCGGGTCTTATTTTCTGAGTATGTCTCAGGTCTGAGAATTCCCATCATGGTTTACAAGGCAAATGAAGTAGCATTTTTGAATTCGCTCATCTCTCACTCAAGAATTTAAATGAGCGGAAAAAAATATGTATCTGTGAACAACTACTCTTAATAACCATATGACAATTATGTATGCCCCCAAGGGGAAAGTCTTTACTTTGTCATTAATTATAATTTTATGTGATTTGCATCATCACACCAGGAAGATTATACTGGCTTGCCTGGCAACCCAGGATATAGGTCAAATCCCAATGGTAGCGTTGGAAGAATGCAGCTTTATACTCTATTGTGGATGCCACATGTGCTCCCACAATGCAATTCCTCCGGGTTAAATACAGATGTAAGACTACGGCTTGTAATCAAGGACTAATCATTGATTGCATTCTGCTTCACAGCTCGTGAAAGGCGTTGTTGTGGATCGTTAGACATAGCCCCTTACAGGAAGGCAGGATTATTTATCTGTCACCAGTTGCTTTACTCCCTTTGCTACCAGCCTTGCAGCTATCAAACAAAAATGGCTGCTACAATGCAGAATAGGAATGTTGTCAAATTACCTTGTTGCTGAGCTGAGACAATCATGTTTATTTTCTGAAGTCCAGGAACAGGTTAATGATTGTTGGTTGTTGTGTGGGTTTTTTTTTTTCATCTGGAAAATTACCTAGTAACAGGTTAAAGAACCAAATGTTACGTGTTACAGGGAGGAAGAACCATGTTTTTTACCATGTTTTGACTGCGTAGATGAGAGAACATTGGCAAGAGAGCTTGTAACACATGAAATACAGGTTTTTTTTTTAACTCCTAGAAAATATAAAGGCTGAGAACTATGTAAATGACATAGGCTGGTCAAATTCAGAAGCTACAGTTCTATACAGTACCTTGTGGTTCACAATTCGAGGAGCCTTTTGACAGCACTTTCCCACGGAATTTAAGTACATATATGAAGCTTATTTTCCACTGCAGAGTAATAAAGCAGAATAAGGCTGCTAAGCAGATGCTTCCACATTTTCCTAAAGAAGTGCTTTGAATTTTACATCAGTTTAGTTTCTTTCACTGGCTTACTGCAAGTAGTCCGGTTTTATGTTACAGTTTCCTTTACTGCACAATCAGTTTATTGCCTGAGTCGAAGAAAAGGTAGCTGCATCTTGACTCTGTATGCTTATGCAAAAGATAACCAATAATGCCCTCTGCTTGCCTCCCTGGACTGCTTTGCGGCTTGGTCAATCCGTGTTTGTAAAGGTCTTTCACTACATCAAATGAAAAGCCATAAAAAAATGCAGAATAGTATTCTTCAAGCAGGAAGAGGTCAATTCTGAGTCAAAATTTCCAGTCACTTATTAGACATGCTGAAGAATTAGCAACAAATTTGTGAATGAATATAAAAGGTAGTTAGAAGTGGGTTAGATTAAAAAGTTTTACCAGTTCACTAGGGTAAATGTGGTGACATTTCACAGCAGAGAATGAGTGATGAAGTGAGTTTGGGGATTCCGCAAACTGTTTAAAACAAAATTAATAATAGTCATTTTATCTACTACTACTTCTCCTTACAAGAAGAGAATAAACATAGTATTCCATCCATCATCTCCACAGTATCTGCAGTATACCAGAAAGGAAAATTGTGTTTCTTCTCCTGTAAACTGTTTACTTTCTTAGTGCTATATTCTGACTAGCTAAGGAATGAAGCTCATTACAAGCACCTTCATTTAGCATGCTGCCAAGTATCCTACCTAGGTATTCAGTGGTCCTGTTGACACTGATGATGCTGAGCTTTGTAGCAATCATACAGGATAGCTAAGATACAGCTTTCTGAATAATGTTAGAATGTTTGAAGGCTTTGGCTGTTGTGATGAAGAAATGTGAACATTTTTTCTTTAACTTCCAGGCCTTGTGACAGATTATCGGGTAAGTACAGCATCAGTGTAATAATTACTACTATTACTTGTATATATACTGTTATTTTCAGGACTTTTATTGTCCATTACTGTCATAAACCTAAAAAATCTCATGTTTCTTTCCAGGAAGGATACAGGTTGCTAAATTTTTAACATTCCTCAAGCTGAAACTTTAAACTCTGTTTTTTGAAAAAAAAAAGTTTAAAAGCAGACATTGTCTTGCATTGCAATACCTCAAGGTTCAGGCAGTAGAAAGAAATGTCTTAAAGATTTTTTTTTCTTTAACATAGTGAATAATGCAATTTTTAAAGAAAAGCATATGAGTTTTAATCTTTAACCAATAGAAACGCTGTTGTTTGGAAGTGGAAAATGGGCCTGTCATTGTAGATGCTAGCCCCACAACTGTAAACAAGCCAATATGCATGAGCTTCTAAGATACTTATTTTTCTAAAGCCTTCAAGGAGAATTCAAGATACACAAAGAAAATTTGATTTGCCCTGTGACCCTTCCATTGTGACACCCACCTCCCTTTCCAATTTTAATTTGAAAATTTTGAGTATTAAACAGTTACACCACGGCATTAGCCAGGAATAGACATTTCTACTATTATTTGACCCACCTCTAGTAACTGCCTGTAGGATGTGGCAATTGGTACGCTTCAAAATCATTGCAGAATGTACACTTTCTGCAGTATCACTACAGCGGTGACTTCTAACATGGGTGCCCTCCCTTCTCCCTGGCTTGCAGCACTGGCAAATCCCCCTGGGCAGAAGGTTCCGCGCCCTGAAGCTCTGGTTCGTGATGAGGATGTATGGGGTCACGGGACTGCAGAAGCACATCCGCAAGGTGACTGGAATTTGCTTTCTTGGGTAACCTGTGGTGGGACAGCACGGGAGAATGAGCTGGCTACCTATCTACTTCCCATGACTTCTGTACACATCAGAAAGCACGGGCAACAGCTTTTAAACAGCTCAGTTCAATAGGGGTGCTGCTCGTTTGCCCCACGTAGTGTCACAATTTCATATCACGGCAGGATCAAAACTGTCATCTGTTTTGGGGCAATCTTGAGGGAAGACAAATCTAGGAATTTGGAATTTCTACAATGTGGAACCATAGTTCCCTCTCAAATTAAGCCAGAGCATATCCATAGTTTTATTGTGGAAAAACATGTTTATTCATTACTTTATTTTATTAATGAGCATGCATTGATAGCGTGTTTAGATTATGATTAAGGGATATAGCAACTTATTGGGCATGTCCTCCTCTGCTGCTTCTTTCTTTTCTGTTTAAAATACAACTTTTTTTTTTTTTAAAATGTGTACAATTTACATTTTGTTAACATTGTTATGAATAAGTACCAAGTTTATTCTTGATGTAAAAAGAAGGGCTTTTTTAACCACTAAAAAACACATCTGGCGCCAGTCTAAATTATATATACACTTCCTCTGTAGCAGTAAAGTCAAATTCAAGCATACCTTTTATCTTTATAAAGTTTAGGGAAACTTCTATTGAGGGGAGATCCATGACTTGGCTCTAAATATTTACAAAAATGTCCATTAGCTAAGGGTCTGGTCTAGTATACCAAACTCCCTGCAGACACACATTCCTTTCTATTGTAGTAAACAGATTAATTTCTCAGAAAGACTTTTTCCACTGGTGTAAAATCAGTGCATGAGGAAGTCTCTTTTGATTTGGAAAGGTTCTGGGATGGAAGGTATCCTCTTTGCCTCTCATTTTTATCACACTAGAATTTTCAGTTGACTCTACAAATATAAAAATTAGATTTTTATCCTTAATGAGGCTTTCAGAAATAAATTTTGACAACAATGGCACTCCTGATGTTCTGTTATCCTTGGGCAATCTGATATATTTCCTTCTGATCAAAAATTGCTACAAGACTTGTTATTGCTTTACTAGGCCACCATTACAGTTTCTAGTGGGATTCTCTCTTGGCTTAGATTTCTGGAGACTGCAATTATTTCAATATGATGCCAAGTTTTTAAGTGGGGCCAAATCTCTCAATGGGAAAATAGAGGGTTGGAAGCCTCATATCAGTTACACGGCCTTTATCAGGCTGGTTTTCACAGGTCAGTATTTACATTCAGCAAGGTCCCCCTTAGCGAAAAAGTGCCTGTCTTCCTGTATTTGTAGCTGAAGACCAGGTTTTTATATTTTCTGTGACAACACAGTTCAGGAAGGCTAAGCAAATCAATCTTTTCTTAAAGATACTGACTCCAAAGTAAAACCCCAATATGTTCCCTTATTTGTAAAGGTAATTCAGACAGCTATATTTCCAAGGGCTTGTTGAATTGAGGGTGCACATTTAATATTTCATTAAGGACTAAATTGTTCCCTGGTATACAGAGAAAAATAAGTTACAACGTAATTTTTGCAATTTCCAAAGGGCAAGAGGGGTAATTAAGTGCAGAATTTGGCTCACTGTATACATCTGTCAGACTGGAACCATTAAGTTAGTTTCCCCTCATGACTCCTCCCCAGGATGCATGCTGTTTAAATTCAGTGGGTTCCAAAGCAGCTTTAAAAAAAAAAAAAAATCTATCTCTGGCAGTTCTCTGTTGAACTTAAATTCAAGAAATAATTTAATTTCTTTTGCTCCCTGCTCTAGCAGAATTTAAGATATCTCTTGCGAGTTTGCAGACACGTTGGTGAAGTTATAGCAGTAGCTGCAAAGTAACAATTATAAATGTGTTTCATATCTTGCACGTTTTCCTCTCTCCTCAGGAATTATTGTGGGTTCCAGATATATTGCAATGACTTTTCTTTCGGTAGCGTAGTAATAAAGTGTGTAAACCAGCCTGACACTGGTTTATATTTTCAAACCCATAGACAAGTTTCCAAATGAAAAGTAATTTGGAATTTGACTTCACATGTTAACTTCACTTTAATATTGCTTATCCCAGTGCTTGGCCTTGAAAAGTTACTTTCTTTTAAACATGTTGTAGCATCTGGCAAATAACAGCTTTTATATTCCCATTGCTGGCAAAGGCCATCCTGAAAGACAATAACTGGTACCATACCTTATGTACTTGGGACTTTTAGCTGGGTTTTAAGGGAACCCCTGTAGTTTCCAGAATTACTTCTGAAGCTGCATTTATTACAGTCGGTGATAGAGTGCTCATGGGTAGAATGAGAAGCGACCTAGGAACAGTGGCAGAAGGAGGTATTTCAACCTTCAAGTGGAGAGCAGAGCCGCTGGAGCTGGGGAAGCGGGAAGAAGTACGCAGTCGCCGCTATGTTGTTAAAGAGTTGCTCCGGAGAAAGGGCCACAGAGTCAGGCAGAAGAGCAGAGGTTTGAAACCGCTCCTTGGGCTGGAACCTGGGGAAGGGGATGCCTATGTCTGGGATGTAGCATGCAGTCATACACCACATAGTTTTCTATACGTCAACATATCTGTGTGTAGGGCACATCATCCCCGTTCAGGCTATACAATAGCAGCTAAGGCATGCCTGTTCAGATGCAGACCTGGGCCTTATTGAGAGATTTGGGACCTAGGGTTTCAATTCCTTTCTGAGTTTATAAAAATCACAATATAGATTCTGTGATCACCTAGAAAAAAAAAGAAGACACTTCAGCTCCTAAGTCATAGAAAACTGTAGGAAGATTTATCCAGTATTTATAGACTTCTAGTTAGGCTCCTTTTGCACAGCCAGGTGTTACTTACAAAGTGGTTTGAGATTTTCAACAGTGATGAGCTTCTGACACAACATAGAGGGAAAAAACACTGCATATCCTTAAGAAGCCATCCTACTTGCTGTGTGATTAGCAAACTTCTATATGGAAGACTAAAGATACCTGCAACTATCTCTTCACAAACTTCTTTTTTTCTGGATGTAAACTGCCACCAAAAAAATTTGTCTCTTTCATTCTGTTTTCTTTTTTTTTACCTCTTTTATTAGTATGTTTTAAGAAAAAGATGTTTGTTACGTTTGCAGCCTTAGGATCTGTATCAAAATGACTAGATAAACCACTGCAGCCTGGCACTTGCTTGTACTGAGGAAGGCATTTAGGAACTAAAATATTCCTGGGAGATGACAATGTGTGACTTGGATTTAGATACAGTAACTTTTTCTGTTTTCCAAACCTTCCAGTTATGCACTCTTTTCCCACACACCATGTAATATTAACCTATTGCAAAGTATAGGTTTTAAAGCAGTGGTAAAGGGGAGGACAGTCATCTCAAGGATGTGGGGAGACAAAAATACAAATTTTGGAGGTAAGTCCCAAAGCCACAGAGGAGATGTACAAAGCGGGCAAAACCAACAACAATAACAGTCTTCTGGACTGATTCCAAACACTCCGAGTCAATATCAATGTGAAACCCAAATGTCCCATTTGTAAATGGTCTGTTTGCAAACTGCCTGACCACCTATTACTCCTTTGTTGGTTTAAGTCCTGTCAAAGAGCTCAGAAGTCATTCGAGAAATTTATCAGTTAATATTTTTCTTATGTGATCCCATGAACATTCTGACTCAGATAAATCCTCTGTAGGACCAGAAGAAATCAGTGTACCGCATCCTTCTTTCTTTGCTGAGGATAATGAATTCCATTAAAAATTAACAGCAGAGACCAAGAAACTTGGAACAGCATAAAAACAGCAATGCCAGAGATAGGATTTCAGTTGGAGAGTGGCATAGTCCAAGTGGCTGTTGAGAGGACTCTTTTGACAGCATTTTCCATCAGAGTGTACTGGGATGCAAGCTAAGGCAGGCAGAGGTGAAATCTATAGGAGGAAAAGCATGAAGTCATAAAGGCTAGGCAGGTATGTTTATATGCATATACAAACTAATGTACTCTCATGCTTCAGAAAACCTCCCTTCAGTCAAAATCTATTTTAGTTCTTGAAGGCTTTGCCCAAAAATCAAAATTCAAACACCTCAGCACAGAAGCATTTATATTCATACTTGTACTCACACATATACATACGCAAATACACATTTTTTAAAATAGGGACCACTTCTTAATGCCTCAGTTTACTGCTCCCATTAGTGATTAGGTAAGACATTTCCCTTAATCGTAAATAACCAAATGAACCGAATCACTTTCTTATTTCCCTTCTCACTACAGAAGGGCAATGGTTATTTACTTGAGAGATAGTGATACACAACAATTCCTTACAAGCTTCTTCAATCTGCTAAATTTCACTGTGAAGAGAAGGGCTGGTGTTCTGTTCCTATATACCATGACTTTTCAGGCCACTAACGCAGTCCATGTGACTCCGCTTTGGGCACCCATGTGTTAAAGGCATTGTACAAATGATACTGCTAGAAACAGTATGGCAGTTGGTTTGTGTATGTCCACTTTTTTGTTAAATTATATAATGGCATTAAATAAAGTAATTTGTAAAGGTTAAATAATATTTGAAGGTCTACTTTGAGTTAATGGTGCTAGGGACACAGCATGACACAAATGTAAAAATCAAAAGCATTTGGAGGCTTAAAATATCCATAGATCAGGCTTGGTATGTACAGAGTCAGCGGAAAACGGAGACCAGCCCGTCAGTTTTTACCTCTCCTTCTTTCCTATCCTTAGTTTCAGTGCCTGTAGTTCTGCAAACAGAACTTTATTTTCACAGTTTACCTGCCTGTTTTGAAAAGTTGCGCTAAAGCCACATGTGTCCTCCTGTGTGTTATTGCCATGCCCACATCCAGGGCGTGGGTACAGCCCTTGGACTCACAGAGGCAGGGGTGATACCTAAAAGCCCTCTGGTTTTACAGGGTTTGAATTTCCAGGCTTAATAACGTTTAACTTTATTGGCTTTAATTATGTTTGGTTGCAACAATTTTTGTAAAAGCAATTCAGGATAATGGCTTATGGTTCAAAGGTGCAGGGCCTTGGTAAGTGTGTGAAGCAAAGCTGTTACAGGTGAAACGTCAGTTAAAGCTCGGCTTTTCCTCCTTCCAGGTCTCTATCATTTAAAACACTTGGTGCCCTCCCGTGGCCGTACAGATTATTGCTACTTGTTAAGACTCGCTATGGATAAAAGTGCTTGCATCCAGACATGAAGTCAAAATACTTCTAGAATTTTGATTTGTGTTTCACTGAATATTCTCTGTTTTTCCTTGCTTTTATTTCTTTCAAATTCCTGAAAAATCCTGTAGTGCAAAAAGTGGACATAAATACTTGTTATAAAATGTACAGCACGGATCTGGAGTTTTCTTGTACAAACTACTTGCAGTAAGCCAAATCTTAGATTTTTGTTTTATTCAGTTCTTACCCAGGTACATTTTGATTAAATTCAGTTGGTGATTACATTCAGCTGAACAGTTGTGGAATTCTCATCTCATTGAACATGACTTTTTTTATGGCTTTGATTTCCAAGACCTAGTATATGCAGCGTGAAATTTTGCAGAGCTGTGTAAAAGACACCAATTTGGTTAAGGCTATAGAACATGAGGATAGAAGGAGATAGTAAAAGATGATCACAACACGTGTGCATATTTCACACACGTTTTCCATGCACATATGCGTACAAGTATCGGCATGTATACACATACTTCTGGTCAATTTTCATAGCTGTAAACTCATGCTATTTCTATTAGCAGAACATTAAATGCCTTGGAAAGGATTGGGCATTTTATTGGTCTCGTTCCTGACTCAAAGAGCTTTCAGTCTAATTTTAGAGGGAGATGATAAATGGATGTAACAAACAGCAGAGAGGAAGTGGTAACAACAGAAAGATTGGCTGGTTGCATAGGGTACCAGTATGCCCAGTCTGAAGGTTTCAAATCAATGTTTTGATTCAATATAAACAACATTTTTCTATTTTAAGAAATAAACAAACATCAGAAAGCTATGATTAAGATTGCAAAATGTGTTTTGGTTTTTTTGTTTTTCTGTAATTTTTGTTTTGTGTTGCTCTTGCCTTTTAGAAAAACGTTCCTGTGAGATGAAACATTCCACATCTAACCCTGGCCCAAAGTGAAATGTTTCTGTTTTGTTTGATATCTGTCCTTGAACTTGTAAAAAGGCAAAGTGCAAAGGAAGGAGAAGACATGGAGTTAGTTGTTTAATTTTATAAAATTATTTGCAATCATAAATACATAATACATGTAATCAAAATAACAAAATGTTGATTTTATAAAAAATAATAAAACATAAATACATTAATTCCTTTAAAAGTTAAGGAACTTTAAAAGTTAAGGAACTTTTAAACATAATTTTAGACATTGCTAATAACTTTTGGTGTAGATGGCTATTGCATGAAGACAAACTGTAATTCTAATAGCCGGTTGCTGCTATCTTTTTTTTTTTTTTTTAGGGTAGTGAGCACTAAACTGATGATAGCCAGTGAGAGGGGGACTGGATAAGGTGCTGCAGGTACCTGATGAGGATATGGGTTCTTTTTTTCCAAGTGCTTTTGAACTCATTTTGTTTGGAAGAAAACAAAATGTGGTATGAGTGTGCAAGCATCACTGACTGATGTTAAGACCTCCCAGCTGAGTGTTAGTATGATTGTTGGTATTTTTCCTATTTGTTTAATTTTGGAAAAGCACTGGTTTCCTATGCTTCTAAATAATTGCTCTGGCTTGGTGTCCAATGTCACTCTTTTTTCCCCAGTAACTTCTGAACAGGTTGGCTGAGATTTGCTCTCCGTTTTCTTGATTATACTGCCATGACCTTTTTTTTCAACTGTGTGTGAGCACCCAGGTCAGAAGAGTGAGCAAGTTCTCCCCTTCTTCACAGTTATTCTCATATTAAGTGAATTATTCTAAAAAGAGCATCTTTCCAGCTCGTTTTGCACTGCAATTGTGATGATTTTCTCTCCATATATCTATGCATCTGCCCCTTTCCCCGCAATAGCTTTCGGACTAATTAGCCATTCCCAGCCAAAACCGTCAGTGGTAGAAAACGTGAATAAGAATTATTACAATTATTTACTATTAATATGGTATCATGACAGTTATAAAACTGTGCCAAAATGTTTCATTAAGAAACAGACTAGTATGGCCTAAAATAGACTGAGCTACTAATATAGTAACGCCTCAATATGGTCTCTGGAAGTCATAAACAGGATGTAAGTTAACATAAACAGATGGTGGTATGTGAATATTATCAGATATCAAAAGAGGGAACAGAGAAGAGAGATTTGGTATGGAAACAATTTAGCACATCTTTTCTTGTGATGAATCCAATTATACAACGTAGATACTATCTTTCTGTTCTCAGCACGTCAGGCTGTCACATCAATTTGAACATTTAGTCCTTCAGGATGAAAGATTTGAGATCTGTGCTGAGGTTGTCTTGGGACTGGTCTGTTTTCGGCTGAAGGTAAGGTAGCTAAGCCCTCCTATTTATTCTGTCATGTTTTACAGCAATACAATAACCTGCAATTGAATATAGACTTTGTAGTTAATATACTTAATTATTTGTTAAGGAAAGTAAACGGAGTTCCTGTAGATCAAAACAGATTCAAGAAAGAAGCTTTAGACAATTTTTTTAAAAATTAGTCAAATGCTTAAGAGAAATTCCAGCATACTAGGATATAGAAATATAGTCAAGGCAAACAAATGGTCTACCCAGTCATACAAAATGACTGCTATATTCTATGCTTGATGGGCTTTGATGAAGATTATTGTTTTAATATATTTCCCTAGATATTTATATATGATGTGTGAGTGTATGTGTGTGTATTAGATGTTTCTTGTCAAGTTAATTTTTTATGTTGCATATATTTACTATCCAGATTTTTTAATATATATAGATATATGATAATGGATGAAGATTAGAGTAGTAAACACTTTTTAATTGTTTCCTTTAAAGAATACATTTTGATTTATAAAATCCTACAGTCAGACTAGGCAAATTGGAGCAAGATAGGAGTAAGAATGGGTTGCGTGGGAGGCCAGCTTCACAACTGCCCTTGGCTCTGGTCTGATTTTTTTTGCTGACCATGATCCTTTTGCCCCTCTTGGCTTTTCATTCCCCAAAATCTCTGTAAGTGCCAATCTCATTGACGTAGAGGCCTTGCCCAACAGAAGGTCTGCTGCTCTCCACTCAGAGCATAAGACCTGCAGTAGTTGGGAGAGTTCACTTGTTTAATCAATCAATTACAAGGGGATCAGTGTCTTGTTTTAGCTAAAGAACTCATTTAATAGAGGAGCTTGCAACCAAAGCCTCTGTAAAGGGCTGGATTGTGACACTGAATCTGAACACCAAGCACTAATAATAGCAGCACCAGTGTTTTCTAGCTTACATGATACCTAAATCAGCTTTTAGCTTTTCTGAAGGCTCACAAGCACATCTTGGCTCCTTCTGGGTAGTGTGGTATTACTACTTTTCACAAATTCTTTTTTTAGTCATTCAGTTGCCCCAGTTACCTCAAGTTTGATGCAATTGGCTGAAGGAGCTAACAAATCTTTAACAGTAAGATAATGGTAAATTCCTCTGGAATAGGAAAATGGTTTTGTTTGAATTTATGTTGTTTAAAACAAAAGATAAAAAAAAAAGATCTGTTGCTAGGGGATCCGATAGATTCCAGAATGTTGAGGTTTTCCAGTAAGTGGAAATGTGAATATAATTTCTTTTCTAACAAGAACTTTGTGAGGATTTTGAGGAATAGGTTCTGTGGCTCTTATTGCTCAATAACAAGATGTTGGTTGTAGTCTGCTCCCTCATGTGGAACAAGCAAACACTAGTTTTGCAGATCCAGAGACAGCTGTTAGTCAGTGCTCTACATTTACTTTAAAGGAACAGTTCTGGTGAAATAGAGCATAGCAACACAGGAATTGTCACTTTTGATCAGAGCAGTGGTTCATCTACATCTGGTCTCCTGTCCCTGATGCTCCAGTGGAAGAAATCAGATCAACAGGGAATGACAATTTTACAATAGGAGGTAAATATTTGACACCTAGCTAAGAAACTTTTGGACAAGTAGTAGAATGAAGGTGTGATTCTGCTGAAAACCAATGTTGCGACAGCAGCGTTTTCATCACTTGACTTCCCTGTCCAAAAAAAGAAAACAAAACTAACAAGCTTTTAAATGACAAGCATTTTATAGTTATTTTTGCAACTTTATTTGCTCTTAAAATTAATCTTTCAGAAATCTTCCTGTGGTTTGTGTAATTTGCATTAAAATGCATCTTAGAAGTAGGATATTTGTAATTTTCAAGTAGTTACAGTAAAACAAAGGGACAGGGGACTTGAAATCTAATGCTGAACAGCTATGAAAGTATGAAATATTTTTCCTTCCTTTGTTCTTGAGAAATCCTGTTTGTTTTTTTTTTTTGCTTAGCTGTAACTTTTAATTTTTTTGCTTTTCACACTGTTGACCAGATGGACTAATAATCTGTGATTTTTATATTAGAACTATTTCATCAAATATCAAAGAGGGAATCCAAGTATCATGCCAAAGGGTTAACTTTTGGCCTCCTTGTCATGTCTGCAGATGAATACAAGTCAAGCTAGTCATTTCTCCAAAGGGATGAGAATACTGCCTTATTGAAGCTGACAGACTCAATCAGAGCTGGCTGCTGGCTTCTCAAAGCTCTGGGAGAGGATTAATCACCACTAACTTCAATTTGATGTGACACCCAAGTGTCACAGCAGCCCCTAGGTGCAGCTGTGAGAGTAGAATGACATAAATCTTTCTCCTTCCTCCCCTCACCCCTGCCAAGGGCATTACCTTAACATCATATAACCTCTTGTATTGCCTAAAAGTTAGTGCTGTGCATTTCATATTAAAGGCAAGGACCATCATTTTATGGATTACCTTTGATAAGAAAGCAGTATATCATTGTCACCATTGACTGACCCATAATGGGTAGGGACTTGCAAAACACCGAAGTTGGTCCTTTTCTTATTTGGGAGCATTCAAGTTGCATAAATATCTCCTAGAAGACTAAGGCTAAGCCATGAATTTCAAGCTGCCATCCAAATTCCCTAACAACTTGTGCTAAGTCAGAACAAGGTTTTGACTTGGGTTCAGCTCTAACTCAAATATGATCCAAAAACATGAGAATAATACATTTATCCTCAGTGCCAATGGGAAACTGTGTCTCCTTTATGCTTTGTTTTTGTATGGAAAAGGCTAAGCAGGCAAGTCACAACTGCACAGATTTGAGAGAATGTGTTTTCTGATACGGATGTTTTCAAGAAGACATAGGCTGCTGCAGTAACAAAACCACTGCTGAACAGACAGATTTGTCCATTTGTGAGTCCTGTACTGCAGCGTTCAGCAAGGGAACATGTAAAAATACAGATGCTTCTAGTGTCTCTTGCAATTCTGTGTTACCAGCAGTGTAATAGAAAGAATAAAGGCTGTACAACAGCTAAGATACTTCCCCAAAGAATAAAATCATAGCACTCAAGATCAACATGGTATATCCTAGGCTATTACGGCAAACTGCCCAGCAAAGCTGAAGCCATCTCCCGACCTGGTGATAGAAAAGGTAGACAGATGGGTTCCTTTAATTCGGGTAACAAAGACTGTCAAAGATATGCAGCTAGCACTTCATCCTGTGTTGCTAAATCAGACAAAAGTCCCAAGGTTTCTGGGATCCCTTCTTTCATTGTTTTCATTTAAAGCAATTTATTACTATTTTTGAAAATCTGATGACATCTTTTATTTTATTTTCAAATGCTGATGGACATGAACTAGGAAAACCATTGATCCAACATTAGCTGAACCTGCAAAAGAAGCAGTACTCCTCCGTGCAGTCCAATTCATTTTAAGAGCTGATATTAAGAGCATAGAGCCGCACTAAGGGAAATCCTCACATTCACTATTTCAGCACAAGGAGAATGAAGTACACTAGAAGGAGTTACATTCAATACTGCATGCATGTAGAATCCCTCTGACCTTCTGCAAGATATTGAACTTTTATATCTTTGTTTCCCGGAATGCAGAAGACTCTCTACTTCCAGTGGGCAGGCCAGTTTACCACTTTTCTAAAATCCCCCCAAAACCCCTGCTCCGTAGGATTCTGTGGCAGACGCTTCCTATAAAACTTGAGGCAAATACTTTTTTAGGGTTTCTACTGATAGTATGAACTTACTTATGCCGGGGATACATTACCTTAACTATTTCTTAACTACGGGTAAGATTTCCATCTTCATATTCAAAAGACTCTCTCACAGCAGCCATGCCTTTTCATGCCTTCGCTTAAGTGAAGACTAGAAGGTTTGTTTGTAAACAAACCTTTACAAAAAAAAACTTTGTTTTTAGTATAGTTTATTGCACAACTTCCTTCCACATTTGTTTGACTAGATTTAAGAAAAGCATCATGAAATGAATGCAATAATGAATGCTTTTACATGAAGCTACATAGGTCATGACCTTAGGTGGCAAAAAAGCAGTCAGCTATCACAAATGCCCCAGTGTGAATGCTGCTTCTAAACCCCAGGTAATCCATAAATCTTTGTGGCTGAAAAATTATCTCTTGTGCCATCATCTTTTGATTGCAAAGCACTGAGAGACGAGAAAGTGGCTGCATGTTACTGGTGGTACTTGGGCTGGGCTGCTTGGTGGGATTTATATATTCCAAACTCGTTTTTGAACATCACCATATCCATTGAATTACAATGATTTCAGGGCTCAAATGAACTAAATAAGGCACTTCTTGAGAGCATAAATGAGGCCAAGAAGATTCATCTGGTCCCATGCCACCTGCGAGAGAAGTTTGTGCTACGTTTTGTTGTTTGTTCCCGCATAGTGGAATCCACCCACATCAAGTTTGCCTGGCAGCACATCTCACAGCTGGCAACTGATCTTCTGAAAACATGGGAGCAAAACCACCACTAGCAAGTAACAGCAGTGAAGTAGCAGTGGGGAGGAGGTAATTAACTGGCTTTCTTTGTCTTGCCAAGTTTTATTTTAGGGGCAGGTGGGAAAGTCAAATTATGAAGGAAAAAAATACAAACCCTGTTGTTATATAGCCTAGCTGCAGTAGCAAAAGCCTTGCCAGCAAATTGTAACCTTAGTCATTCCTTCTCTGTACTGTAGTTTCATCTTGCCTGTTTCCAGGATGCACATAGCCATGGGGACACGAGCTGTCATTTCTTACCAGTTCGTAATCAAGAGCATTTATTGAACCAGACAATGAAAATGGAAGGGTTAGCGCTCCCTCTGTTGTCTCCATTAACCTCTAGCACACATGCTCCTTTCTTCACAGATGAAACTGTGAGGTGTTATAACCAATTAATTTAACATTACTATAACTTCAGAAAGAATCCAAGTTGGGGGAAGTTCAGTAATCTGGTTATAACACTGTTCAGGTCCTACCTAAACAGGCATGCACAAATGTTGTTGTCATGATTTGGGGCACTACTGTGTCACGACACTACATGCTGCAGTAATTTTGCAGTTAGGACTTCAAGACTTCCTTCATTACATAGCCAGATGAGGGGGGAGCGAGCACTAAATGAACTCTAACTGTCCTTATGGCAGGTTCTCTACTTGCTCCTAAAGGGTTTGCTTTAAAAACAGCCATTTTGCCAAATCTTAGCAAAAAGGTTATGCTGGCTATTGGTTTGCACTTTGATCATTCATAATGAGGCCTCTTAAAAGCTCCTTTTTAAATTTGGTCAAAAGCCATGTGCTACCTGGTGTTCTATATTTTTAATCAAGTTATTATAAGCAGCGATTACTTGAAAATAATCTGTAAGTTATGTTCTGTGAAATAGAGTTGTGATTTCTTTTTATGGTTACCATTCTGCTTACTTAATTGTGTAAAATCTTTGACAAAATGTGCTAAGAAATGTGATGGCAAAAATGTTACTCTTTGTTTCTCAAATTAGCTAACAAACAAGATATCAAATTACGATAAAAATAGAAATTAAGAGAAGTAACATCCAAAATATGCTGTGGTCCCCCCATCAGTGGTTTTCTTCCATTAACAGTGATGCATGGAATATGAAAATATTGGAAAACAATTAGCCTTCAGAGAAAGTCAAATAATGTGTACTTGACACAAATCATTGATAGGTCATCCTGTTAAAGGCAGGTACAATAAAGAGGTGAAATGAAAGTCAGAAACAATCTCTGACTTTAATAAGTACTTCTGCCATTTTGAAAACATAAATTCCAGACAGTTATCTCTACACAAGTAAAAACAAAATAAATAGCTACTCCAAGAAAAATAATCTGTAGGATTCATTTCTACATTTGCATTTGTTTTAATCTTTTCCTTTTACTGCTCAAAGTAACTTCTAAAACATCTTGAAAACTTGCACAATTATTCAGCTTTCTTCCTCCATCCCTTGCAAGTATACTTCCCACATTTGGGAATTTGCAAATAGACCATAAAACATGCACGGGGACAGTTAATTTGGCATACAGTCTGCTCCTGCCCACTGTCTTTCCAGAAGGGATTAAAGCACCTGACTATGGACCAGATGGATTTTTCTGGTGATTCCTAATCACCTCACTTTTGTGGTGCAAACTGGGGAAGGATTAGTATTAATGTGTGTGCAAGTGGTACATAAGAAATGTGCATGAATCCTGACACTTAGGAAAAAATGACCAAACTCTGCATTTCCAGCAGGTCAAACTATGCAACTAGGGGAGGCAATGGCATACTGCCCTGCTGTAAGGCTAGCCAGAGGCTATGTTATCCACCCAGATGAAAAAGCTGGTTGCTATTTAAGGAATTGATTTCACAGGTAACAGATGAAGCAAGGGATGACAAATTAATCTGGCAAAAACAAGTAATATTCAAGCAGGTGACTGAAATTTTGATAGCATCATTCTCTTCAGCAGAACCAGTATGACATTAAGCTTTTCTGTAGTAGCACAACGCAATAGATTGGTAGACTGGAGAGAGCAGAAAATGCTGGCAGTTGTTTCCTTTCTCTGTTATTAGTTTTTTTTAAAACAACATTATTCAGTTCTCATGACTTGGGAATCAGTGTTCATCCACAGCACATATGGTCTACACTGATAAAATTTTACAGCTTTTATATTATGAAAACACTATAATCTAGGAGCCAGAGAAGAATTACACCTTCTCTATGAGACAGACCAGTATTTTGTAGGTGAAAGATATAACCAGGTCTGCCCAGGAAAAAAAATAGAGAGATCAGATTCTGATCAAAGCGATCATAGAGTAAAGCCAGGATAATTCCACTGAAATTAAATGAGTTGAAAATTTGGGCTTATGTGACTGTAACTGAAATTAAAATCTAACTAATAAGTATTGGAAAAGAAATGCATAAGGTAAGGCAACACTAGACTGAACATAAGAGGATTTTGGTGGAAATCCTCTCCATGGAAACCAGAGCAGAGGTGGATGATGCATGCCTCTGTGAGCCTCAAACTGCTTGTGGAACAGGGACGTGGGCAGGATGCACATCCAAACCCAGGAGAGGTGAAAGGCTCTCAACAGCCCAGAATTAGAGATAGGTCCCTCTAGACATTTCTGGGAAAATGTTGCCAAAATGGTCATTCAATTAAACATTTTTCAGCATATCAGTATCACTTTTAGAAGAAGCTGTTGTCCACATACCAAAACTCCTTTTGGCAGAACCTTTAGAATCATAGAATCGTTTGGGTTGGAAGG